CCAGTAAACACTGGACTTCCTGCTGATTGCCAGACAAATTATGTGAATGATGCCATTTTAAAATAAACACAAGCATCTTTCTTTGCATTATGCATTATGCACTTTTATAAGCTCATATGTGCAGCACACACTGGTACTGATGTATCTTTGAGAGATATAGGCATAGTATTGTGTAAAAAACAATACTAAAAAGCAGAGCCTCAAACAACAGCTCCACCATCTTCGCTCCAGACCTCACTGCAGAGGGAGACAGCAGGAAAGTGCATCCTCAGCATCACAGATCAGTTACATGTGCTGCGTTTTGGAATGCGGCCCATACAAAGACCACATGGTCTATCTGCAAAAACACAACATTTTATTTACAATTCTGTAATGCCATATCTGACTGAAGTAGCTTTAGTGTCTTAGCTGCACCCTTAAATTTCCTGTGAAGGGATACATCAAGTATCAGCCCCTCTGAAGCAGACCATCTGGCAGCTGAGTGGAAGCAGCCAGCGCGAGATCATTTAAAGCCTCAGCAATAGTGAAAGATAATGAGGCACTGAGTGTTCTGTGTGTATAAGTCAGTTTTCCACATACATTTGCACTTCTATTATTTATATATATATTCAAAAATTTAAAACCTTTAAGTGTAAAAGTGTCAGAAACTCTTTTAAATTGTCATCCAAGCTCTGCTAAATGGTCTTTCTGTCTAAAATTAATATGACCATTCACCCAAACGCAAATGTGGTTCTTAGTTAGGGATAATAGCCATACTTTAAAAAAAAGCTTCCTTCATATATCAAAAGGCTGTAAAGGTAAAGGGCATTCTCAAATATAAAGTGAGCCTTAACTGCAAGAAGCAGTGATGGAATCTCAAGAACCCAGTCCTCTTTTGTTCCAAGATCTTAATTTACTTAGCCTAATAGCACTGTCCCATCATGTGCACCAGCAATAACATATTTAGGGGTTTTAACACTTTTGATGAGGCAACAAGATGCTCACCATGATGGAGTACACCAGTGCCACGATGCTGATGGGCCAAACGGGGCAAATGCAGGAGATGATGACCAGGATGAGGTAATCCCGGGGCTTCGGGGTCTCCTGGACTGCGTTGCCGGTGGAGGAGCGGCTCAGACTCGCCTTGGAAGGGGAGAGAGGGGCGGAGGCGGCCAGCTGCCCGGTGGAGCCCGATCTCACGGAGACGCTGTGGCCGTTCTCCTCGGCTTCCAGACCCTTGTCGCTGCCCACGTTGACCGTGAAGGAGGTGGACATGTTCATCTGGTTCCCTCCAGGCTCAGTGGTCACTGCAAGTAGTTTCTCAGTTTCCTGGAAGTCTGGCGGCGGAGCGCCTCCTCCGCCCTCACCCAAACTGGATCTCTGGAAGTTGGCATCCGTGTTGATCGCCATGTTCACCTCTCAGTTAGAAAGATATATTTATATATTTATAAATTTTTGAAAATAAATATCTGTTAAAAATGTCTTAAGATTGATTACAAAACAGTGAATGACGGCACTTTGACTAGTCAAATTTTCGTTTTTACAACAAATCTCTAAAGCTGAGATCAACTTTGATAACGAAGAAGCTGACACGCCGAGGTGCGGTGGATGGCTTCAAATTAGATTATCTGAAAGGCGGAGAGATTTGATGGAAAAACTTCCTAAAAGCAACGAATAAAATCAGATGAAAGCAGCCTGACTCCTGTAAACATCATTTTCCTCCTTCGATCACTTGTCTTGTGTTCACACCCGACACTTGAGTCATTTCAAAAGGAACTCACAGCACAAACCGTCCCTCCTCTTTGACACATCCAGATCAGTGAGAGGAGCTTCTGTCACCCATGCAGATCTAGATCCAGTCCCACCACTTGAGCCTGTGTCTGTCTGTTCTTGCAGAAGTAGCTTCAAGGGTTTCCTTCTCCTTTCATAAAAAAGAAAGATCAAAGTCAGACGTGATTTTCGAAGCAGACCCCCCCAAAATCGGGCACTTTCTCCTCCTCTGTCTCCAGGAACACAGCCACTGCACTCTACTTGGGACCAGTGTCATGTTAACGCATTTAAACAGGGCACTTCCGGCGACGATGCACAAAATAAAACTCGAGCGTTCTCAACAAAAAGCCAGTAAGGGAAAATAAACGAGTTCATTCTAACTGGTTGTACTGGCATCATGTAGGTTATTTTTTTTTTTTACTACGTCAGTAGCAGACAAACCCCCCCCCCCCTTTTTTTGGCTTTTGTTTTTTGCACACACACAGTACTGTGCAAAAGTCTTGAGCCACCCCTAAGACTTTCATTAGCCCATGTATCTGTGGAAAAATAGAAAACAGGTGCAGCGATTTACTGAAACCTGAAAACATAAATGAAAGAACAGTAGATAAGGAAAAAATATAGTTTACACAACCTAATGAGAATGAAAGTCAATATTTGATCACCTTCATCCTTCAACACAGCCTGAACTCTTTCTGGAAAGCTTTCTTATAATATCTTTAAGTAGTCTTCAGGAACAGTTCTCCAGGCTTCTCGAAGGTCATTCAGAGCTCTCCTTTGAATCCTGGATGGCTTTTGTTCTTTTCTAGGTGGAGGCAAAAATTCATGATTGATAGTGTGTGTGTGTTATTAGGTCCAGGTATGCTTTGAATGCACTGGTAGTGTGTTTGTGATCACTGCCATGCTGAGAAATAAAGCTGTCATCAATCACACGCTTAGATAGCATTGCATGTTGAATCAAAAGTCTGAGAATACCAATTCTGACAAGATCACCAACACCACTGGTCAATGGCTGTTCACGTTCACTGTTGTACCTCTCTCATTAAAGAGAGGCCCTGAAGGGCCAGATGCATCTCTCAGGTCCTGTGTTGGATGTTTGCTGGATTTTTTCCTACTTCTTAACAGTTTGTGTGTTTTTGTGAGCATTTGCTAGTAACACATTGCCTAAAGATAATATTTGAAATGGATTCTTTGATAAGTTGTCTGGTAAGTGTCAACACTGATTCATCGGTTGAGTTCGAATGACTCATCATTAAGTGACTTAACAAACAAGCAAGACCATTTCAAAAAAGTCTGGCTAAAGACTTTTGCACAGATCTGTGTAACTCATGATAAATTATAATGGGCCATACTAATGTCCTTTGGCACAACCCCAAACTCCAAATAGCTTATAGTGAATGAAATTCCGTGAACACATGCCTTTACCAAGTTACTGCAATATAAGTATAAAAAATAAGAGACAACAACTTTTTTGGATAGGTTAGCTACACAGTACGAAGCAGCCTACGCTCTAAAATAAAGTAAAACAAATACAAAGTTGACATTAAAACACAGAGTCCAATCCAAAACAAAATGACAGAAAATCTCAGAAATCATGCTTTCATGTACTTCTCCTATAATGTGACATTCGCAGCGTTTTATTTTGCCTACATGATCGCTGTACTTCCGCCGTGTAACTAGCTCTCTGCGGCTAACTTGGCGCATTGCACTGTTGAAAGCGGGCGAAGCAGGGCTGTCGAGCCCCCTCCCTTCTACCTCCTTCCACTCCTCCTCCTCCCTTCCCTGCCCCGCTCCCAACATCAGCACCAGCGCTTTATGGACGAGAGCCAATGGCGAGTTGTGCTGCTATGCAGAATTTGCTGTTGTGGCATGTTTGGGCAGCAGTTCAGTGACACAATTCACCATAAATCAAATCTTTATAAATCAAAGTTTGGGAACAGATTTAGATACATATATTATTTATTTATTTATTTGGAAAATACGTTGTTAGATGTGTGAAGAGGATCCTCTTGAGATAGACAGCATCCGGTTTCTAATGGGCTCTCTATTAAACCACCATGTTATTCTACTTGTTTACTTGCGTTAAACCAGGCAAACCTCCCGAATAACAAATGCATAAAGGGGGTGATAATGGCCTGTGTTAAATGTCATGTGTGTGTGTGTGTGTGTGTTTCTTAATACATTTCTATTGATTTTCATCATCATTTGATGTGCATTAGCATTCAGCGGTGACCTGTTATAGGGATGCTGGGTGGAAAGCACTGATAAACGGGGATTCCCTGAATTAAACCCAGCTCTCAGTATGATGTCATGCTATTGAGCTAGTATATTATCTCAGTGTACACGCAGAGGCACGTCTGCTTTCAGTGTATTTTCTTCTTAAAGCATTTACTTAAAATCAGTTGTGTCGTTCACGAGCGTTTCTCTCCTATTCAGTTTATGTTCAGCTTACAGCACATTTGTAAATATATGAAGGGACTAAGGAGTAGTTTTCAGTGCCCACACTCCTGTGACAGATGTGAATGCTGCTGAGACAGAGTAATTTTCCCATCAGGGATCAGGTTGCTGCAGAGGTATAGCTACAGTTAGAGCTCCATCTTGTGGACGTTCAGCGTTTCTGCAAGACTAAGAAAGTAATTTCTCAGTTTTTAACAGGACGACTTGATAATATTTAAAATTTTCCACAATATTCACACAACTCAGGTCATTGCCTCTTAGTTAAATTACTGGCACATTCATAATGAGCATCTGGTCCCGAATCGAGTCATTTAATGGAAAAATAAGTTCGATGAGTCAACAACGTCGCAAACCGGAACAGTAGTTTTAAAAATATTTTAATTTGTGGAAAATAAATGTACTCCCTTTCTTTGTGGCCTTTAAAAACTAAGATAACCACAACCGTGTCTCCATAGTATAGAGCAAATGCCAAGTTATTATAACCAGCAAATGGTTGGAATATAAATGACAGGAAAATGGTTAAAAAACAACCAGGTTAGTCCAAAGGTCACAAATTATAACCAAAGTTTTTCCGTTTTGCTGGAAGATGTCTCTTCCTTCCCAGGCTTTGTGCTAAATGGCTTCTGGCTTCAGGGATATACAGTTTGGTCCACAAGGTTTTGTAATTTTGTACACCAACACAATGGAGTTTAAATCAAATAATCAAGATATGACTAAAGTACAGACTTTCAGACTTTAATCTGACTTATAGCATTTGGGTACATATTTTGGCCATGCCTAACAATGGAGTCAAAATACAAACAAATATTAATTACAATTTAATCATAATGCACATCCACAACATATAAACCACAATAAGTCAGGTTTTAACAGTGAAAAGTTCTTCGTTTCATTTTTACACACGTTGTCAGCTATAATTTGGAGTTTGATACAACCTTGCAGTTTATAAGATGGATCATTTTATCAGATACTCTCATGTAGGTGAGTATCCTGTGCAGAGGTTTGATATTTAACAGCTGAATTCTTCTTTAGTCAATCAGCTCTCAGTCTCATCAGGTCAAAACATGCCTTTGTATTTGAGCTTGTCTTCTTCGTTCTTCTCTTCCATACGCATGTTAAGTATGGCCAGTTCCTTCTTAACAGCCTTTTTCATGCCCGGGTTCAGGTCCAGCACCCTGCTGAAATCCTGCCGGGCCTCCGCCTCGTTCCACACCTCCACGTGGGCCTTCCCTCGCAGGTAGTAGGCCTTAACTATGCCTGCAGGACAAATATAAGCTTGTTTGTTTATGCATTTGCAAGCAGGCAGTCATGCGATAGAAATATGCAGCTCTGCAGTGAGAGAAGACATAACTGACATAACCGTTTAGGTCTATGAATGATAAAAACACGCACAGGCACCAGGATCAGACTTTAACGGGACTATGCAACCTGCAATTACAAGCGTCATAAAAAAATTCACACGCTCATTCTCACAGTATGAAAACATGCCCGGCATATAAAAAAGCCTGAATAAACTGTAAACCATGTGACAGTCTTTCACAACTGGCTGGAAAGTGTGATAATACTCTTGGCAGAGAATTCTCCCCCTGCTTTAAGATCCCTCGCTTGCTCGAGTTAAAAAGCTTGTGATGAGTGACAAACCTGGGTGCTGATTGATAATGTCGGTTGTGTGCTCAATGACCTCGTAGTACTCCTCCATGCGGAGCAAACATTGGCAGTAGTTAAGTGTTAAAGTGTTGGCCATCTTCTCCAGCTTCATCCATGGGACATCCCATGCTTTCTCCTGATAAGGGAGGAAGAGGTTCAAAGTCATGCCTATAATAATGAAAATCAGTGCTTTGTAAAGGAATTTCTGCCTTGGATCAATTTTTTCAAGTATTAACCTTGGTCTGAACATTTTTAATGCAGATGATGGCCTCCTTGTATTTCTGTGTGGCTTCTTGGTAACGTCCCTGTTTGTAGAGTTTGTTTCCCTGGCCGTGCAGCACAGGAACGGCCTTCAGCCTCTCCTCATCACTCAGAGCCCACGTCTCCCTGTCGTACTCGCTGGGCTGCTGCACCTGTCAGCCACACATGCACATACACGGACTTCAGTGTTCCATCAATTATACTACAGAGCCGGGATGTCAAACATAAGGCCTGAGGGCCAAAATAGACCTGGCAAAGGCTCCAATCCCGGCTACCAGAACTTGTTCCCTAATTTTAAATATTTATTTCTCACAACTCACAAGAGTCATACTGACAGATTTCTTTCATTTACTACAGCAGTGTTTCTTTGTTATGCAGAAAAACTGAGATATACTTTGAAATCTTTTTCTAATACTCAGACATCTCAGGGATTAAGTGTGAAATGAAACTTCTTTATACTGACAGCCCATTTATGATTAAAGTGTACAGTGAGTTTGACATCCCCGTCTAGATATGCTAAACCCCTTTAATGCAAATATATTCCTAATTTAAAAAGCATTTATTTGGTAGGCGAGCTTGCAGGTTGTCTTTCTTCTTTCTCACCTTGAGCAGCTCCAGGACGAAGTAGAGCGGCTTCGGTTCCTTCATCAGCTCATCCAGGTCTTCATAGCCAAGGCTGTGGTAGGCAAACATGTTGGCCATGCCGCATGTATGGATGTGCCAGTCGACTGGGTCTTTGCCCTCAGCAATGCGTCGCATGCTTTTGGACACCAGTGGATAGACACCAGTGTGCTGGAAAGGAGGATCACAAGGTGATACAAGACTTAAAGTGACTGAGGTGGATCACAAAACAGTCCATGACTTTTAGTCTGTGCCTCATGAGTTTGGTGTCTTTGAAATGGCTGTCTGTTAAATATTTATATGTTTTATGGCGATATGGCATCACTCAGCAACTAAAAAAAACACTGTTATCGTGCTGACTGAACATTGCTCATTCATTACATAATTTACACCAAATGAACAGGTTTAAAGATGCTTAGAAGCTGAACTGTGATCACACTGATATTAATTGTGACACTATTAATTCTGCTCTAATAATCCAGCACAGAGATATAATTTTATTGCTTGAAAAGTAACAGGACAACCCTTTGCAACATTCCATACATATTACTTTTAATTGTTTCCCGATTGATCTGTCCAGGGTGTGCCCCGCCTCTCGCCCTGTGGTAGCTGGGATGAGCTCCAGGATGTTTGCCTATTTAATGTGTGTTTCTGTTTTAAATCTTGCCTGTTTTAAGCTGACACGTAAACACAAAGAATTTCATTATGTGACTGCATAATTACAATAAAGAATCTTGAAGCTTTGCACTAAACATTTTACATTGAGTTACTCAGCATTCCCTGGAGCTTGTTTTCTTAACAAGTTATGTTTGCCCTCTGCTGGGTGAAGAGTGGCAGCGCACGACACAGCCAGTGGAGCAGGCTATGTCGTGCAGACGTGTTGTTCGGAGTGAATAAAAGCTCTAAGCCCCATCAAATCTAATCAGAGTGGAGGGGAGTCAGTAGTGCTGATTCAGCAGGAGTCAGAGCCGATTAGGGAAAAGTGAGGCTGCTGCGGATTAATGACAGTATGCCTCGATCCATCTGTCTCTTACACACACACACACACACACACACACACACACACACACACACACACACACACACACACACACACACACACGCTAGCATAAAAAGTTAAAAAGTTATGGATTACATAACATGTGACAACATATTCTGAGGTAGCATGTCTATATTATAAAGCCTGTTGCAGGGATCGATCTGTTTATCTGTTAGTTTTTATCTGTCTTTGTTTATCTGTATGAGATGACAATTATTCATAAAAACAATAATATATTCAGTGAATTAAAAGTAAAACTTTAGCCGGTACCCGACTTGTTATTATTGCTGCATGAATGTTTGTTTAAAACCACAAAATGATGATTTAGTTTTTCTTCTAACCCAAAAGTTATGAAGGCTTGTGTGTCCCATATATACCTTAACCTTCAACCTCTATATCTGGAACACATCTCATCCTGTGTTATTTTGTTTCCTTGTTATTTAAAGCATTGTTTATAACTCACACATCTGCAGCATGATGTCATTCTGTCTGCACGGACACACTTTTCAGACTAAGTTTGGATCAACAGGATGTAATCCACTTTGAGTTAGACGAGTGAGAAAATTAGGGAGCGTGCAATCAAATAAATACAAAACCAAAGCTTTTATTAGCACTTACAACGGTGTCACACCAGAACTCCGCCACTTCACCGATCCTCATAGAGGACAACAGGGTCTCCCAGATGTCCAGCTTAAACATGTTGCCAATCACTATCTCCATGGGTGTTCCAACCGCTTTGCTGTCATCTATCACCGTGCGCTCGTCGTCACACAGCTGCGTGCGGAAGTGGAAGGTCACCTGGATAAATAGTAAGGAGAAAAAGGCCCATGCTGTGTGAATCTGCTACATACAGTAGAGTCGCCTGTTATTTTTTAATATTTGCTAGGAAAATAGGAAATAGTTAAGTGTTTTATTGAAAATGTAATGGAAAAACACAATATAGAAGGTTTGTACAAAAATGAAACCACTGTCAATCAAATGCTTTCCTGATGGTGCTGCATGATGGATCAAAATCTGCCTGAACTCATCTGCATTCATAATTTCACCAATTTTAACAAGACCCCCAACACCCTTAAACCACTAAAGAGCCTCTGTGTTCTCCTGAGCTGAACCAAAAATGTCAAATTTGAATTCATCACTCCATCAAACCTGTTGGACCTGATTTTCAGTCCAGTTCTTGTGCAGTTTTGCACCCCTCAGCCTTTTCCCCACCTCTTTCCCTTCTATAAGAATAGCTTATTAACAGCCACCCTTCCACTGATTTCAGATGAGGCTTCAGATTTTCTCCTATTCTTAAAGACTGTTTATGTTATCCGGTGTCTTTAAAGTCTTTCAGGGACACATTGTATACCACGAGGAAATATACCAAGTTTTCAGCTAACAGCTCTTTGGCAATCACCTGTTGGTGCAAAAATAAAATTTTATGTCTGTCAAACTGTGTTATCTTTGGCATTTTCCATAGATTCAACAAAAGAAATGGGAACAAATCAATTGCTTTTGCATCCGGCTGCTGGTAAAAAAGTGCCTAAAGACACAATTTAAAATAGTCTCTTTGCTACGTTGACTGTTGTGTGTAGCCACAACACTGGTTGATCTCTTGACTTAGGTGCCTTTTAATATGATGAGGACTGGGCTGAAAATGTAAAAGCAGCCGATGTCCAAAGGAACAGTTTTAAAAGAGCTTCAGAAAGCCTCAAGACCACTTTAAAAATGACAAAAAAGTCTGACTCCTTGGAAGCAAAAGATAAAGAAATTAAGGTTGACTCAAGATTTTTACACAGTACTCTACAGAATGGACAAACTGGAGAAAATGATGGCAGTACCTCCCCAAACAGGTTAGTTTACATAACATAGTGATAGCATGAGTGTAAATACCAGAAGAATAAAGTGGAAGAGGAAGTGCAAACGTATTCAAACCTCAGTGATGGGAAAAGATATTATGGTGAAATATGGGTCTGAATAACAGTGAAATTTGAGCATCTCAGCAAAAATGTTACGTCACGAGCTTCACACAGCTCAGTTACTCAACAAAGGAGACAGACAGGAGGAAGGTCACACATGCCAAGGTTGCCTGGTTCTGTAATATCCAAGGAATGGAAACCTAAAAGAACTGTGTGCAAGCTGTAGTAACAAAGAAAAAACAGTTCTTTAATGCGCAGCACCAGTACAATTCATCAATGAGTTCATAACCCTTGTGAAAGGCTTCAGTGGCACATGAGAAACGAGTAGTAAACATTATTAGGAAAACACAAGAACAGGGTATGAGACAGTCAGTTAGCCTCGATCAGTAGTGACACATAATGTAACTGAGATAAGGAGAACTTCATACGTCTTTAACGTCCAAGCCATTTTTTCAAATTCAGTTCTCATTTGAAGAATGTTCTTATAATTTATATTGTCATAAAATAAAATTAAAATCTCATTAAAATGTTATAAACCGCTACATCTTCTATCGACTTCTACTGGCAATAACTTGGGAACTACAGTAACTTGAGCATGCTCATCCCTCTTTGCCCCTCCTGCGGCAAATTATTAAATAATAAGCACACAGTATGGAGATAAAATCCACAAATATTTAAAAAGCTAAATATATGAACTTCTGTACTCTGTTGTTCAACTTTCTGAACTGTGTTCCTTTATTGTTAATTCTGTGTATATTAAAATACTACTTCAAGGAAGTGCAACACACAGTTAGCTCCTGAGCTCATTGTGCAGACAGTCATTCTGTTCCTTTGTAATTAAAAAAAGGTACATCTGCTCTGCTTAAAATCAAAATTAGCCACAGACAACTGTGTTATAACAGAGTCGCTGCCTTCCTTCTTCTGCATGGTCTTGTGATGCTGATGACACTATGATAATTAAGTGCACATATTAAAACTGCAGTTTTAGTATGAGTTATATTTCTCGCTTTGTGAGTTATAGTTTTAATTTAACCTATCACACGAAAAATGGTCAAATACGATTAATTTTGGGCTCCGGAGACAATATGAAGTCAAATGTTTTTTTATGCCTATCCGTGGTAGAATAATCCAAAAGTTTAAATGAAGTTGGCCTACAGTACCTTCACTCCTGTGACAAACTTTGGAATGTCTCCACTCCCTCCATGCAGGATGGTTTTCTTAATTCCTTCTGATCCCAGCAGGAGTGCGTCTTTCATATCCGACATCTTTACCTCACCTTAAATTACAAAGCATATATCTCACACAGAGGTTTGTGTCTGTGTTGTGATGGGTACAATATATGTAAAAGCTTGTTGATGATTTGGCGGTATCGATTGTGGTGGATTAGTTTAGGCAGAGATAATGAGATTAGAAACTTCTCCTCCTCTCCTTATGTCCCATCATCCCTCTGTAGCACTCATCCCCAGCACTTTCTCTAAACACCAAGAGGACGATAACAAATGAAATAACAATCCAGGACTAGATTTATTTGGGATGGATTTAAGTTTCTTTAGATTTAATGTCAACATTTGCCTGGATGAAAAGTCCTAATGTGCGTGTTTAATTGTGTGTTTGTGCTAGAGATAAAACATGAAAAGAAAACTCTGTACAGGTCTACAAGAGCAAAACTGGAATGGTTTCCATTCCAGAGGAAATTTCCAGGATTTATGTGGATGTGGTGATCCAAACAATGCAGAGAATACTGAGAAATGGTGGAGCAGACAATTACTCTATGGACTCCTTGACCTTGTCTATGAAACATCTGTCTCCCATCTGTGCAGTGCCTGTGTGCATGTGTGCGGGTGTGTTATCCAAGTGCCCCGTACTGTTTGCTAACAAAGTCTGCAAGCAGTTTGAGGGGGCAATTATTCCCAAGCATTACCCAGTGTTAATGTCTTATTCCATACTAATGGCACAAATAGAAAACCCAATAACTGCACCTTGGCAACGCTCACAATTGTGTAACTTTATAGGCTTGTGTTTCCTCTGTGCAACAACATGGAAAAGTTAGTGTTTCGCATTGAATTATCAAGCGAAACAGCTGTCTAATCTCTGTTCAAATAAGACCTCTATATCCCTGGAAAATGCTGCAACCTTCTATCAGGTTTGCCTTTCCCCCCCCACTGATGTGACAAACAGGATTGGGCAATAGTTCGGTATGTACTTGGCAGCTGCTCAAGGTAAAGGCAGAGTTCACCCCCTCTTGTGGAAGAGCTGGGCAGTGCAGCAGGAGTTTGCCTGCTTCTAGATCGTATTGCCTCTGATTCGAAAGTAAAGCTCTTAGAGGGAATTGCGTGTAAAGCTGGCCTTTACAAACAAACTATTTACACAGTCTTGTGGCACAGAGGTGCTTATGTTAACTAAAACCTTCACAAACACATTTAAATGCCAGTTACAAAAAAAAAAAAAAAAAAATTTCTCCTTCTTCTACATTCTCCCTGCCCTGTCTTCTCTCCTTTTCGAAAGTGAAATGCTGAAAATGCAACATGGGTACATGGCAGAGTGCCTCCCTCGGATGGCAGATTTGTGTTGCTATAGTTACAGCCTTTTGCATCATCATATCTCTGAGTTTAGAGGAACAATCTATCGCTGGAGTCCTATAATTACTCATAAACCTGATAGCATGTCCCAAGAAAGGTTTCAGATTTAAAGCCATGTGTATCACCATTTCTGGTCATTTCTTAAACTGTTAGCAGTCGGACGTACCGCCCACGGGACATTGGATGGTTTAGGGGACTAATAGGACTGCTAAGGGGTTAAATAAAAAAAACAAACAAAAAACAACAACAACAAAAAACATCTGACCTGCTGGAGAGGTAATACTATCACAGCAGTTTCTGTTATAACCGCTTTGTGTCAGAGTGACTCATATTTCTTGCGTCACAACGCCTACACCTTGTTCTATTGCTCTGCCTATGGTCCATTTGTGTGTGTGTGTGTGCGTGCAAGCACGTCAGAATTTTCTGCATGTACATTGTAGCGTGGGAAATTGAATGCGCCACTTTGATGAACCACATGCTTGCATAGCTTTGAGAATGGGTTCATCTACAAGTAGTCCTGCCAACAGGCAGCACAACCCAGTCTCTGCCATATTTGGATTCTTCTGGAAACTAATTGGTGATGCAGTAGTTCCACCTTAAGTAAGTAATACTCTATTTCTGGAAAGCACAGTCATGGATTTCCTGGGGTGGAGCTGTTCACTTTGTAAAAAGCCTTTCATTCATATACATAACACACGTGGGAGGACTTCCTCCATGACGCACACTATATACGCACATAGAATAATGTTTATGGATGTGTACACCATTTGTGCTTCTGCTGCTGCTGGGAACAAAGCACAAAGAGTAAACAGGAGACAGGCGAGCGATAGCTCGATTACCCTTTCTTTCTCTTTGAGATTGACACTTAGAGCTCATCAGGCAGATGCAAAAGGAGGAGGAACAGACACTGAGGGGAGGTTTGGAGCCAGCACACAAGAGCAGGAGACATCAAACACATGCATGCACATACACATATGTTTTATAGAATGGTCACTTTGAAAGTGCACCAAAGTGCTGAAACACAGAACAAAAAGAAAGGGTTTAAATAAAAAATAAAACACAAAGTGAGTAAAAATAAAACCAAATGACACCCAGTGTAAGGAAGTGTAAGGAAGCAAATATGGGGGACATGAGGGCTTGTTTGTATGTGCCAATTAACAGCCATGCCTCTGGGTTTTGGATCTAGTTAAAGTTGACTATGTAAGCAATGACACCTGGACAACTGTTACAAAAAATGAAGTCGAGATGAAACTGAGGAATGGATTACCATCTGAAAGTCTCTGAAGCTCAGAAATGGCTTTACTTTTGCAGGTAGCTG